TATTATTATTATTATTATTATTATTATTATTATTATTATTATTATTATTATTATTATTATTATTATTATTATTATTATTATTATTATTATTATTATTATTATTATTATTATTATTATTATTGTTATTATTATTATTATTATTATTATTATTATTATTATCATTATTATTATTATTTATTATTATCAGTAATAACGAAATGATTCACCTGATATCTCAACATATTTGGTAAAGAACCAAGAAGTGAAATAATGATAGCAGCAATTATGGCGATAAATGCGGCTTTGAAAGTATTAACAATCGGTATCTTTGATGTTGATGTTGCACTTCGTTTCAGTACCAAATATCGTAAAACGGCCATATTTACAGTTAACCAAAGAGATGATGAATGAACAAAAACGGATAAAATAGCATAAAAATATGTAAATACTATCCAGAAATAGGTAAAGTACCATGGATGACATATTTCAACCTGGAATGAATCATTCCATCTATCATTTTATTTCCTAATTTCAATTTTCATTATTTCTTCCAATTGTGCTATCAATAATCTCTTTGAATTAGAAGTGATTTCATTTAATTGATTGCTTAAATTTAATAAATATAAGCATACTTCTTGAAAGTTTCAAAAATTTATAGAAATATTTTCGGGATTTTTTTTTCCGATCAATTCATGAAATGGGATTTTTGTTATAAATTTCGTAACGATATTAATGTGATATTTAAGGGAATGAATGAATGAATCAAATAATAGATTGGATTGATTCGTTCTCAAAAAAAAAGAATTATTCTCTATATGATATCATCATGTGAAGTTATCCAAAATTTCTGTTAAATATTTTTATCAATCAATTTTTTTTTTGCTCAATTTTCAAAATTTTTAAAGTTTTTTTTAAGACATTTATCAAAAGTTATCATTGTCATATATTTTATTTATCATTCCATTTTAATGAAATGAACGAAATATTGCTATTTAATGGAAAAAGAGCAAAAAGGAAAGGATGAAAGAACTAATTATAATTTTCAGTATTTATTTTTAAATAAAATTAAAGTGATACTTTTGCAGGTTTAGTATTACTTACCGTAATACTATCCACAAATTTTTTTTCCATTTCGTGTGTTACTTTCCCAAAAAAGGCAAATTAATGGATTTAAAAAAAAAAAATAAATAAATTAATGGATTTAAAAAAAATTTTAAAAAAATAATTCTGTTTTTTTTTTGATCGCTAGATTTATTAGCCAATAATATTTACATCAATCATGAAAACCATCAAAGTCTTTTCTTTTTTCTAATATTAAATTTTTGCTACTGTAAGTGTAAGATATCAGTTCTTTGCTTTTTCTTTTTTCTTTCTTTTTTTTTTTCAATTATTTTTTTAAAAGGATTAACTTGTCAACTCGAGCATGTTAATCAAATTAATTAACCAATTTTTATCATTTGTTTTTTTGTTAGAAGAGAGAGAGAGAGAGAGAGATCAAATCTCTCCATGTTTATTTGATAAAATGAGCAAAAAAAA